TGTTAGTCTCTAAGGAGCCACAAGTACTCCTGTTCTTCTCCATGCTGAAATGTTAGTAAGAAACCATAGGTGTGGGTGTAATGCCGACAGACCCCAGTGGTTGGTGGGCAGGATCAAACCTAGGACCTCTGGAACTGAATGCATGAGCCTGTATCCCATCAGCTAATAGCCAACGGGCTGTTAGCTAAGGCTGTAGAGCAGACTCATTTTTTTATCTCTCTCTCTAAGTGGTCTCGGTGCCACTAGACGGGATAGAACACCACACCCAGGAGGTGTGTGGGTTACATGGCCATGCGAAAGGAGTTTAGTAAATAAATCAGAGCTCTGCAATCTTTCCCAAGGTTTTGTGGTTTTCCAATAGAATCTAAGATTTCCTAGTCCACGAGAGCAGTTCCTGCTACCATTTGGCCCAATGTCATTTTAAAGGAACTTTATAGCCCATTGTGTTGGGATTTTAGTCTTTTCCAAATCGGGGCTTGGAAAAGAGGCCAGGAAAATAGATACAGACCAGGGTCCTGATCCTCAAAGGGATTTAGGCACCTAACTCTCATTGACTTCAACAGGATCTGGGCCCTGGGCTGTTTGAAGTCACAGCAACTGACTAAATCCCAACATGGTCACTTGCAGAGGAGTGGACTCGAACATGGGACATGAGAATATGATGATGTTTGTGTTGTATCATCGCATTCTTATACCAAGTCAGTTCTCTGGTACTTTATGCCTGGAGTATGAATGACAAGCAAATCCTACGTCATTCCTCAGGCTTTCTCAGCCATGCAGGTTTCTCTTAAGCTGATACTGCAATGCAGTGGCATCCATACCACGATGTAGCTCAGTGTTCAGTGCAATGTGTTCCACAATGCACTGCTCCCTACTTATGTGACAATTCCTTGAAGATTAGCTCCCAGAACATGCCCATTTCTTTTAATAATGTTTTAAATGTAACAACCCATTTATTTTGTATATATTTAGTGCTAGTGAAAGATGCCCATTGATACATTTGTGCCTCTCTGTATTCTAAAGCAGGGGTTCTCAGGACAAAATTTTTGGTCGCTTCAAAGAGCGGCCACCAACTCTTGCTGGTGGCTACTCTCACACTTTTCCCTAAAATACTTAATTAGCTTTAGGAAAAACAAAGAAATATGCACATACACACGTCCCAATCATTGTAATGTATTTATTGCTAGCTAGGAAGTCTGTTGTGAAAAGTGATATTAACAAACATCCAAGTATCACTTTTCACAGCAGACTTACTCAGCCCTGCCAAGCCTGGGGACAAATTAAACCCTGGATGGAGGGTTGGGGGAGGCAGTGGAGGCCAGGGGCAATGGGGTTCGTTGAGGCAATGGGGGGCTGGGGCCTGAAGCCCTGTGGCCAGAGCCAGAGCCGGAGCCAGGGGTCTGCTCCTGCACAGCTGGAGCCCAAACCTCAGCCAGAACCTGCCACCCCACTGCCCCAAGGCTGGGAAGGTGGGAAACTCACTGGCTGCCTGCTCCTCCAGTGTTGTGCCCCAGGTGTCTACAGAGTGGGGTAGGGCCCAACCCCTGCTGGCAGCCCCAGCAATCAACACCAAGGCAGTGCATCCAGGAGCAACAGGGAGGGGGAGGGCCTGCTATTTTGCCCCCCACCCCCACTCCATTACAGCCCAGGAGGCTGTGGCTGCAAGAAAAGCCCCTGGTGGCCGCATGTGGCCACTGTGGCTGCATTTGAGAAACGCTTCTCTAAAGGCCAGCTGAGGACATGCCTGTGCCTTAAGGCTGCTCTAACTTAAACTTTGCTCTCTATGGCTCCAAGGGGCCATTGTGACAGACAAGAGTAGCTGGAGTGCAGCAGTGCTCTGGTCATGCCCTGTTCTTTTCAGCCAGCCTCTATGCCAGGAGCTGCAAGGACAGGGGTGTGGAGCCATTAGGCTGCAATCAAACTAGTGCACTAAAAATGCTGTGTAGCTGCCGCGGTGGGAATGGCTAACCCTCCCGAGTACGTTTCTAGGGTTTCAGACAGCTCAAAACGTAGACATACCCTGTGTCACCCTATGGCAGGTGTATTCCCCAATGGGCAGATCCAGATCAGTTTATATGTATATTGATGAGCCTGGAGTTCACAATGTGTCCCAAAGGTACGATAAGAAATCCCTGTAATGTTCCTTTATTCTTCTAATCGGTCTCAGCCAGTGTCTCTCATCCTGGGGAATTGAGACTTGCTGATGTCGGTATAGATGCACTCTAAACAAACTCAGACTGAGCTAACATGTACTTGTTTTT